AGCACATAGCTGGTTGGAGGCTTCAGGGCCCAAACAAAAAACCGTCGTCAGGTTTTGGAAAGGCCTTCATGATATGACATATTCTGAGACAGCACATGTCGGTAGGCATATGGAGTGGCATCTCGATCGAAAGCAGCGGCTGTGCTCTCACCATTGCCGCGGCTGCCAAAAACAACCTAAGCCCTAGGCCCTCAACCAAGTCATCGTGAGCTCCAGGGCCACCATCGGTACGCCAGCCAGTGAAGTTGCTGTAAGCACCACTGCTTTGTCCTCTCCCATTCGGCTTTCGTAAAAAAGTATTTACACCAGTTCGTTCCTGAACTCAAGTTCCCCAAGCCTTTAACCCCAACCCTCTAAGCCCTAACTAAGCCCTAAGCCCCAAGCCCTAAGCCCTAAGCCCTAAGCCTTAAGCCCTAAACCCTAAATTCCCACCCAGGGCGTGGACCCAGAACTCCACCCGAAAGGTATTAAAAGCACCGCCTGGAGCTACTATGCAAGCCGAAAGAGTTATGTTGAGCGTGAGCTGCACGTCAAGTGTATGTGCAGTACCCCGCTTGGGGTACCCCTTCTCCTTTCGGTCATTCCCTAAACCTGACAACCTGGCACCAAAAGTGGCTTCTGTGCGCCGCACCTGGGCCCCTTTCTGCAGCCCCTTGACGGGTGTGTCCAGGGAGCAGAGGAGACACAAAGCAGGTCAGCCTGGGCGATTGGTCAAAAAACCCACTACCATTCAACCCCCGAAATCCCTGCTTCCTGACTGGCGCCTAGACCTCGGCCTTGCCCTCGCTCCCCCTGAGCGCCTGGCCCTCCTGGGCCTTCCTCCGGCCGACAGCTGGTGAGCGAGGGCAGTTGAGACGACGAATTCCATGGATTACTACAATCATACTCAAATCTGATGCCTTGAGCATGGTTTTCACGGGTGGCCGTGTCTTTCAAAACCCTGACCAGAGGTGGGATGGTGTCGCTTGCTCAACGACCCCTGCCAAAGCCTCTGACCAAAAAACGTCTAATCCTAGAGGCTAAACAAAATCTCCTACCAAACTCACTAAACCCTCTATTTTAAAGGACGGGAGTGGGAAGTGGGAATTTAGGGCGTTAGCCCGAAACTCTAAAAGCGGATGTGGTGGGATATGCCGCCCCCTCACACCCCGTGGGTGTGTTGGGGCGCCATCTCCGCATGAAATCTACTGCCGCGCCGCGGCGAGAAGCCCTAAACCCAAAACCCTAAACCCCAACCCCCAAAAAGGCCCCTGAGGCAGCCCTTGATCGCCGAGGTGGGGGAGCCACGGCTTGCCACTACGCTGGCTTCTCAGCCCTAAGCCCTAAGCCCTACGCCCTAGACCCTAAACCCAAAACCCGAAACCCTAAACCCGAAACCCGAAACCCCAACCCCCAAGCCCCGAGCCGTTGACGGCCTTTAGAAATCCCAATTCCCTGAAAATTCTCAAGCCCCTCTACACCCTCCCGGGACCATGTGGCCACACTCTTTAACTTAAGTCCTCAGATGTTGAGTGTGTGTGTGTGTGTCTCACTGAATGGCATTGGGCCGCAAACTTAAAGCAATGTTTGACCCAAAAGGGTCTCAAACAACACCACATGAGCAACTTGCCACCCTACATGGACGTACAAGTGAATCACCGCCATAGCATCTTCTCCATCGCCCGGCTGGATGGTCCGTCTTGAACCCACCCATAGCCTTTAGCAGCGTTGGCCCTTTAGCGCTTATGGGGTAGCAATTTGCGAAAGTTTTTTTTTGTGGAGCTCTGTTTCTACATGAGAGTGGGGGAGTGGTTGAAAGGCATCATGTATTCCATTTTTGTGCTCGGGTTTTTTTGATCACCTTTACACAGTGTCAAGCCATGAGGCCAGCCTTCGAGGCAGCAGCGAGCTGCTGCAGACCCTGCTGCAGGCACCTGGCCAGGGTCTGAAAAGTTTCGGATTCAGGGTTCAGGGTTCAGGGTTCAGGGTTCAGGGTTTAGGGTTCAGGGTTTAGGGTTTAGGGCGTTTAGGGTTTAGGGTTTGGAGCTGTGCCATGGAGGGGCTCGGTGATGCCAGCACGGCATGGGAGCCCCCGAGCCGCTCCGGGTTCAGGGCTTCCCGACCCCAGACCCCCTAATGGTATCAAAAGGGGCACATCTGTTGCGTTCCTGTAGCGTTCGGGCTTCGGATGATTCGGGTTGCCCAGACCCTGGAGGAGATGCTGAAAGCACGCGTCCGTTGGGCATCATGAAGGGGTGTGGCAGTTGCGCTTTGGTGTTGGTTGTCTGGGCATTTTCCGTGGGAGGGTGCGCACTTTTGGCCTCTTCGAGGCGTCTTGTGGTTGGCTGCGCGTTTTGGTTATGGGGGCGTTGTCCGGGGGGTTAGGGCGGATCCTGGTTGTAAGCAGCCCAAACCGATTTGATCTTCAAAGCCCAACCTCGGGTACCCCGAACGCCGAGGGCAGCGGAGGAAGAACGTATCGACGCCGTTTAAGGTGTGGGACTTCAGGGGCCCCCAGGGCTCATCGAGCGCCCAAACATGAACCATTAAACAGAACCCGAAATCCTAAATCCTTGAAACCCCAAGCCTCCCCAATTTCAGAAAGCCCCACAGCCCCAACATCCTGCGGTCCTAGGGTTTAGGGTTTAGGGTTTAGGGTTTCCTAACCTCCCCCAAGGCGCCTGGAGTCGTAAACCCTTGAACCCCTCACAGAGGTGGGGCCCAAAGCAACCCTCTGTGACGCCTGTATTTGCCCCCCGAACCTCGAAGCCCTGAGCCCCGAAACCCCAACAAGCCTTACCCCCTAAGCCCTCAATCCTGAACCCTGAACCCTGAACCCTAAACCCTAAACCCTAAACCCTAAACCCTAAACCCCAAGTAGCCCTCAATCCTGAACCCTCAACCCTCAACCGCTCAGCCGCAGGGCCGGAGCGATCCGGGCCGCTGCGACGACCGCGGAGACACGCCTCTGGCCTGGGCCTCCTCGGAGGAGGTCCTTGCGCTTCAGGAGGTTTAGGAGGTTTAGGGTTTAGGGTTTAGGGTTTAGGGTTTAGGGTTTAGGGCTTTGGGCTGAGGGTTGAGAGCCTTAAGGGGGTTTTGGGGGCTTAAGGGGGTTGAGGGTTTAGGAGTTTTGAGGGAGGGCAAGTTGCCCAAAGCCTACAGCCCTCAACCCTCAGCCTCAGCCACAGCCCTGTAATCATGAACCCTGAAAGCCTCAACCTCAACCCTGACTCAGCCGGCTCACATCCAAATCTCAGATTTTGAAGGGGTCCCGTCTCAAAAAGGCTATGCTGGAAATGGATTCTAAGAACAGCTGCGAAAGCCCCAATCCCCAAACTTTGGGATGTTCCCCCTTATATTAACAGTCCTTCATAGGGAGATATTATCCTAGGGGTGCTGTACTCCCTATGAAGGACTGTTCGTTTCAGGGGGAACATCCCAAACCCCAAGCCCCACACTTTGCAACGCGCAGGCCGTGGCGCTGCTGCTGGCATCCGGAGTGGATCCGACTCTGCGCAGCGCGGGCCACGGACTTTTGCCGGGCGGACTTGCGCGGAAGTTGAAGCTTTGGGTTTTGCAGCTTTCCAAGGCTGTTTAGGGTTTTTGGTGTTAGGGGCTTCCTTTTTGGGCCTACCACAAAATGACAAAAACCGGGTTTTTTTGGGCCTACCAGAGTTTGCCTGAAAACCCCAATCTCGAGAAGCCCTGAGGCCCTAGAACTCTGGACCCCACAGCCCTAAACCCCTCAACCCCTCTCCCTTGGCAGTGCGAACTCCAGGCCTAGATGGCCGCACTGCGCTGATGTTTGCAGCAGCAGGGGATCCTAGTGACCTTAAACCCTAAACCCTAAACCTTAAACTCCATAAACCCTAAACCCTAAACCCTAAACCCTAAACTCCTAGGTGCCACAGTTAAGGTTCTGAGGGGCGAAAGGTTTGGTTCCCGTGTGTTTAGTTTCGACAAGCGTTTCGGCTCATGGGCTTGTTGTTGAAGAATGGGGGTGCGAAGGTTCAGTGCTTAGAGTTGGCAATATACTACGGTCATAATATGAGGATTAGCCCAGCACAATCATATGGTCCCCTCTACAAAACGCCAAGTAGATGGGGCTACTACAAGGGCCTCTTTTCATGAAAGCCCCCCCCCTGAGAAAGCCCCCTAAGCCCTAAACCCTAAACCCTAAACCCTAAACCCTAAACCCTAACCCTAAACCCTGAACCCTAAACCCTAAACCCCTTGAACGATCTTTGAGAAGCCCAGGCGAGAGGCCACCTCAGCGCCGCGCGGATGCTTGCTGCCGTGGACTGCGCCCAGACTCGCAGGGGGGGGGGGGTAAGAGGGTTTAGGGTTTAGGGTTTAGGGCTTAGGGCTTACGGCTTAGGGCTTAGGGGTTAAGATGTAGCTGGTTTAGGGTTTAGGGTTTAGGGTCTAGGGTTGAGGGTAAGAGGGTAAGAGGGTTTCGGGCTTAGGGGTGAAGATTTAGCCGGTTTAGGGTTTAGGGTTGAGGGTTTAGGGCTTAGGGGTTAAGATTTAGCTGGTTTAGAGTTTAGGGTTCAGGGTTTCGGGTTTAGGGCTTAGGGCTTAGGGGTTAGGATTTAGCCGTTTAGGATTCAGGGGTAGGGAGATCGGGAGTCAGGGTCCCTACGTCGTTCTTAAAGGATTGAGGACGTAGAAGGTATCTCATTCCTTAATGCCCAACTGAGGACCGGCAAGGTTTCAGATTTGAGGGGTTTAGGGTTTGGGGTTGAGAGGGTTTGGCCAGCGGTGTCTTGGCGTTTTGGACTCTTAGATACTTCTGCTGCCGAGGGTTTCGGCTAGGTGTTCTGGGTTCTGGGTTGGGGCTCCTGAGAGGCCTTTAAAGGGCTTTTCTTGGTTACGGGGCGAGGTTCTGCGGCGCTTTGAGGGTGGTGGTTTCGGGGTTCGTGGTTTGGAGATGGAGGTTATAGTCGGTCAGACATGAGGATGAAATCACCCCCCCCCCCCCCCAAGTTGAGGAAGCATCGGGCTTAGGGGCTAGGGTCCTCATGGATTCCGGCTCAGGCGACAACATCGACGCGGTCGACGACGCCGGAGACAGTGCCATGGCGTTGGCGGTGGCGAACGGCCACGAGGAGCTTCGAGGGGAATTAGGCGGGACTTGTGGCCGTGGGGGTTTTAGGGTGTAGGGATTTTAGGGTTTGCAATACAATTCAAGGTCTCAGGCTTGGGGAGTGTTTGAGATGCCCTAAACCCTAAAACCTACGGCCTGCTTACGACGGACTTCGGGGATTCCGTGTGATGTCCGTCCGTTTCTCTGGGATGCAACTCTCCGCCCATCTCCGGATATGGGTAGCTTTCAAAATCAGGGCCTAGAGAGCTGCCCATATGGGGTTTCCGAAGGCGTTCTCCCGTCTTGGTGCCGTGTGAACAATCAAGACTGTGCTGTCATGGTGACGCTCATACTTCAGATCAATCCCCTTAACCCCCCATGTATGGAAGTTTCCAAGCATTCCCTTCCCCTTGTTTGAGCATGTTTAGCCCCAAACCTCTTGATTTGAACCCCGAGCCCGAAACCCGAGAACCCGAAGCCCAGAAACGCCAGCCAGCAACCCACTCAACCTCAAGCAGTACGGATTGGGATGTCCCCCTTATGCTAACAGTCCTTAATCGGGATTTACAGTACCCCCTATTCGAATCCCTACTAAGGCCTGTTAGTATGGTCATGTAATCGTCGGCTTAGAGTTTCGGGTTAAGGTTTATGGTGGTTAGAGTCCAAGTGGGGCAGCGGGCAAGAAGGAAGTGGTGGCCATGCTATTGAGCTTCGGGGCGAAGGCGGGGTGGGTCGAGATTGAGTAGTTGGGAAGGCTTGGGATCAGTGATCCGCGTGCTGGAAAGGCTTTGGCTGTGGGAAGCTATCTCAGGCCCCCCTCCCCATACTCCTCGGTGGCTTGCCCGAAGCCTTCCCACTGCCGCATACCCCCCCATACCCGCCATACCCCCCCACACCCCGCCATGCCCCCCAAACGTTTTCCTCCCCATACCCCCCCCTTTACCCCTTCCCCAAACTCACAGCAGCCAGTGTGCCGATGTGTGAGAGCGCCTCCAACATGGACCCTGGCTGTCGGTCCAAGGAATCAGGATTTAGGCCCGAACCTTTCGCCCAGTCGGTCTAGTGTTTGGGGTTTAGGACTTCGATTCGAGGGTTCACGGCTGAGGGTGGAGAGTGTAGGGCCAGCCCTTATCCCCTGAACACACCCGAACAACATTAAGCCCAGAGGCTTTGAAGAGCCCCGGCCGCGTGGTGATGCAAGAGGAGGCTCTTGCTTGCGTGCAACGTCTGGGGCTTCTACGGCTTAGGGGTTTAGGGTTTAGGGTTTAGGGTTTAGGGTTTGAGGCTACCTTTGCACTTGGGTACGTACCCAAAGGGACTGGCGAGTGGCCCAGGTCATGTTTTGGGAAGGCAGTCGTGGTACTGAACGTGCGACTACGGGTAAGCGGTGCAGTAACAGGGGCTGGTTACAATGGTGTGTGTGTGTGTGATACACCATCTCGAATGCTGGTGCCGCTTGAACTCGAAGACAGTCTCGGGCAGAGCCCTCCCTAACTATTGCAACCAGCCAACAACAACAGCAACAAACATACCATGTTGATTAACCAACACTATTTTTCAGAACCCTAAGAACAACCCAAACCAGTTCTAAGACAGGAGGCCCCTGTCTTAGGCAGGTCTTGGACATGGGGCAGGCGGAGAGCCAGCCATGCTGCTCCTCGGCCGAGAAGCTTGAAATTGAGCAGGTCGCGTCGCAAGCGGAGGGGATCCAGAATGCGTGCCCTGAGTCGAAGAACACTGTTGAGGATCCCATTTCGTCTCGGTTCACCGACAAAGACTTGATGAGAACAAACACGTCGCTCTTGAGAGGAGTTCCTTTGCATACGACACTCAGACACTGGAGGCGGGTCTGGAGAAGAAGCCCAAGTGAGTTGACGATGTCGCAGCGCGCAGAGGTCTTTGAGTATTCTCGGCAAACGGAGGAGCTTGATATGTTTATATCCCATACTTGGCAGACACCGGGATGGAGGAAGTTCTTCTCCTTGCTGATTCGCTCTGGCTGGCGCTGCATGCTCACCTTCTGGGCAGTTGGAACGGGCCTTGCGTTTCTGCTTTGCTGCTTGGACGTGCTTCCTCTGTTCTACAGCTCAAGAGCAGCCATCTTCCAGTTTCAGAGCGTTATTCCTATGGGCTGTTGGGCCACGCTGACCGGGTTGGTATCAGGCATTGGGGGGCTCTTGCTGTCTGTGTATCTTCCGATCGACAATTCATCGTGCTTTCTCGACGTCGCGTGCATTCCTCAGACAGACGACGTCCTCATGCGGCAGGGGATTTACAATATCGGCGGCTGCCTAGCAGTGTCTAGAACCTTGCATGTGCTCTGGAGCCCGCCGTTTTTTTCAAGATTGTGGTGCATGTTCGAGCTCTCGGCATACCGCAAGATGAACCCAACTGGGCGGATCGTTTTTGCTCCGATCTATATCGAGGCTTTCTCTGCTCAGGTTTTCATTTGGCTGCACCTCGTCGGACTCATGATGGTGTTCTTCAGGGCATCATACGACGAAGGTGGGGTTGGAGTTCTTGCGATGTGGGTGTTTGTGGCGATGTGCCTGTTTCCGCTTGCGCTGTCCTTGCGGGCAAACAGCTTGGATCGTCAACGCATGCTGGCAGCCCTGGACCAATTTGAGGTGAGGGAAGTGCAGTGTCTCAATGACTTTGACAGGAATTACATCCATACTGCCATCGTTAGTTGGTATGGGAGCTTGGATGCGTTTTCTGACTACGTGCGAGGCCCATTCCGTCAAGAAGTGCAAGTGCCGCTGCAGCTTCCATACGCCTACCACTGTGTGCTCGCCACACCATTCTTTGCTACGAGCTTAGACTTCGTGGTGGGATTGTTGAAGGCAGGTGCCCCGATAGAGAGCGTATTGGCCTACACCGTAAGCGTCCTAGTTGGCTTGAACCTGCTCTGGACTCCTGCTGCTCTGGCTCTTCTTGTCTTTGCTTGCGAGCATTTGCCCGAACACAGTTTCAAAGGCAGTCGCTACCTGCAGACCCTCGCAATATCTCTGGCAATGTGGCTCCTCTATGTCATCGGGCTGACCTGTTCCGTGGGCTCCTACGTCCTTTTCAGCAGCTTCTGGCCGGTCCTGGTGTGGACGGCAGGGGCGCTTCTCTTCGCCAGTGTGGTTTGGCGATTTTGCTGGTGGTGAGAAGCACCTTTTCAGGCCGCGTGTGGACCTTACAAGCCGGCCCAAGAATCCCCCACCCCTTTAAGGGGTCTTGGGGGTAGAAGGGTCTAGGGTGTAAGGGTGAGCCTCGTGTG